TTTTTAAAAGGCTAAGATTCTGAGAGGAACTCCTAGGACAGAAGCTAAGAAAGGAAGTGTCTAAATCTCAGCTTTGAAAATGTTCCTGCTGTCATTCTGTGGCTGCATTAGTTCTCATGAGGCCCTGATGGGTGTTCTTCTGTTGGATAACTCTTACTGATTTCAACAGACATACCAGTTATAGACTATCTCAAAACTGAACTAAAAGAGAAAAGAACTCGTCCACTCTTGAAAATGTAACCATTTTGTTTTGAAACCTGCTTTTTTCATTTAACAATATGTTTACTCTAACATCCTCCTTCAATATCTTTCTGTACATTATCTTTTATGACTGCTTAGCCCTTTGTTGTATAGATTTATCACTTAACCAATCTCCTTTTGGTACTTCTCTTGTTTTTCTAATTTTTCCACTATTATGAAAAATACTCCAAAAACATTCTTATAGCTATCTCTTCCCATGTCTCTTTGATTATTGCCTTAGGATAACTTTGGGAAGTAAAACCACTGGGTCAGATTATTTGCATTCTCACGGGAGGATGGGTGAAACCAGGGAAGTCTTATGTACCCAGCGTTGGGAGCTACCCGGGGGTGATGAAATAAAATCTTTATTAAAGTATCTTTCCCAATAGCTAAGCACTTATGAGCTCTGGCGGAGGCCAGTGATCTAATAAAAAGTGCCTGGAGCTGAGAGTAAACGCTGAGCTGGAAGGCCAGGCTGCCCACACACCCAGCAAGACACGTGAGGCGCTGGGCTCCTCTCTGGGGTCCCCTCGCCTCATTTATAACATAGTGAAATGGTTGAACTACAGGTTCTCCGACCACCCCTCGGGCGCAGCACAAGACTACTCCCTTCAAGATTGGAAAAGAGAGTAGAGACTAACAATTGCATCCTATTTATGTGTATGTACAGTTTGTTTTGCTTTTATTTCTTGTCCCATTTTATTTAGTTTGTTTTTAAACAGCACTAACAGCATTTCTCAAAGAAGCAGAGGGCTGTGTGCAATCTCTTGGGTAGCTTAAACACTCCCTTGATAGCTTGGACAATTGTGGGCCTTTTCAGATAACTCAGAAGTTGTCTGCATCTGTGCACTGTATTTCTTTGGGGGAGATCAATCAATCAAGAGGAGGCCCGAGCCCATGACACCACTGGCATGACTGTTCCTTCTTCCGAAGTGTTCTGGGCAATACAAGCTTTTCAGGCACTGAGGATGAATGTTGCCAAGGGCAGCACTGACCTAGAACACTCCAAATAGTGACTTACCCACAAAACCAAAGCAGGCTGATGTTCAAGGTGGCGATTGGCTTCTCACTTCAGAGGTATCACCTGCCAAAGCAGGATTTTGAGGCCCATTCCTGTTGACTTGAATGTGAAAATGTTTCAATTTGGGGAACCTCCTGAGTTGGTAATGGTTGTAGTAACTAGTGGAGACCATGTTAACTAGTTATCACTCTCCCTGGAAACAAGGCCTTAACCTGTAACTATGTGCTATTTTATTAAGTGCTTATGAGATAGTGTTGTCTGCAGACAAGCCTCTGAGAATCCCTTAAATTAGATAAAGGTAGATCAGATCCACAGGAGGCCCATCTCCACGTTGTATCTCAGATATCTAAGACACAAAAGGAATGTCTGACCCCACTAACCTACAAACCTGGTGTTGAAGCAAGCATTTCCATTTCCTGGCCTTCTTTCCACACATTCAATAATATTCCCAGCTGAACAGCAGTAGCTATGGAAAATCCTCCTGAGTCATTTCGTTGCTATACAAAGCAGACTTCCTTTGGCATGTTCAGAAGAGCTGCCTTGCCTTGTGTGAGCACCCTGACTGAGCTGAAAATATTCATTCAATCTTCATTTTTATTCCTATTATTTTTAGCAAGATTGACTCAATTTAAAGAACCTATGATGTGGATAACAAAGACTAAAGAATCAGAATACTTGTCAACAACATTGGTCTAAAACCATCAGGCAGTTTAAATGAGATCCCTAAGGTTCAGGACAGGTTTATAGCTAAGGGTAAAAACTATTCAAGGACAAAATTGAGTGTCAAAATGTGTTCTACAAACACAGCTGTAGCACTTAATAAATATGTAATAGCTAAAGAAAAGTTGTTGAGGAAACTTCTTAAAATGGGGGAAAAAATGGAAATTTTGGACTTCTACCTGGTGATATAAAGAATTTTCTCTATTGTGAAAGATTTAGCGACCTCTCACACAGGTATCATACAGCCTTCATTATCAGTCCCAGTGTATGAAATGGTGTTTGAAAAGAGAAATAGGGGTATATTTCATAGGCCAAAAGACCGTAAGATCTTAGAGTGAGTGTCTCATTACCAAGAGCACAAATGTGTGGAAAATTATAGATATAAATTCTGAAGTGCATCGATGTTCAATGAGACCCTGAGTACTTGGAGTTCTCATTTTCTCCTTCTGAACTAAATAAAAACAACATTGAGACATCCCTGCAATGTTTTAAAAGAAGCATTGCATTGATGGTTTTGCTCTGCCAGGTATGTCGTTAGAGGATGTCATCTGGCACTGTCTGGCACACTGTATCCTTGGAACTGATGGATTTTGTTTATCAAGTTCAAATAGATCCCCCCACCCACATCCACCATTTGGGGTGGGAAGGAGGCATTAAAGGCTGTTAGGTACTTTACTACGAGCCGCTAAAACATCATGGAATTGCAATTCTGTCTGCAACCATTTGTTATGGGCCAAAGCGGATTACAGGAGTAAGTACAGAGCCCTCAGCCATGATTTATGGCAGAGGAACAGCCAGAGAAAAATTCAGTCAAGCTGGAATGGCCGAGCAATTCAACCGACATTAGCCAAGGTGTGAGCACTGAGTAAAATTTTTAGAAGGAAAAGACTTCAGCCATAGGCCTTAGCCCTCCATGCCCTGAGCCAGAGATGAATTTAAGTTCCTCTCATTCCTCATCTGTGCACTTGTTTGCAGTTTGCGGTGATCATTTCCAGGGAGATGCACTTTACTGATCGGACTGGAAATGTGGTGGGAATTATGAGATTCCATCTCATCTTTTATTTCACAGCAGCTCTTTCTCATCATGTCTTCTCCTTTCAATAAAGGCAGGACACCATACGTTTGGGAGTGAGAGGAAAGAATAAGTTAAAAATTAATTTTGAAGCCATTTTTTAAATTTCCCTGCTTTCTCTATATTCACTGGAAATTTCTCAGAATGCCTTAAAACTAAGAACAGAATTCAACGGAACTGTTTATGTTTGAGAACCATCCGTGGGTGGAGCCCTAGGATAAACCACTCCTTTGACCCAAAATCACTGTGGCAAGAAAATTCAGATTACATAAATTTGAGAGTAATGGGGGAGAAATATTATACAAAGAAAAAAACTGGAAGGAAATTCAAACTTTTAATAGAGGTGTTTCTTTTTTTCCTGAGTAATGAGAATTAACCCCCAGATAATACACTTTTATATATTATCCAAATCGTCTCTAATATATTATTTTAGTAATCAGGAAACAATGTTTTGAATGAACATGTAGAACAAAGAGGAAGATGAAAGAGTGACTCCAACTGGCACATTTCATCTTGATAATCATACACAGATATATGTATACGTAAGAATATGAATTATATACACAAGGACTTTCGGGCAACTTCTCGGATAGTCACCGTTTTCTCCACCCAGGCTTTCTTCCTGAAGTGCAATTCTTTAAAGTATCAAAAAGCAAAGCAATTACCCCAATTTGCATAGCCTGCATTTAGGAGACATGCCAGTGAAGTCATAATAATGGCCACTTGGTTACCCATTTAATTTCAGAGCCTTCATTCCACAATGTCGCCTGGGCAAGGCTTTCTCTGAATTGATTCACTCCTCGAGCCAACAAAGGTTTTGGTGCAAGGCATGTACCTTGGCACTTCGAGGAACAGAAATGTGAATAAACCACAGTTGTTACCCACGAGGCAAGGCCGATACACGTCTCTCAATAAGCAAATATCAGCCAACATGTTCTCAGGAGGAATGGGCCAAGTGCATCTTTCACTGTGAGCTCTTCGAAGAAGTATTCAAGAATGTGGTGGCCTCCGAGCTGAGCCTTGAGCAACAGGCTGGCTTTTAGGGGGCAGAGGCCCTGGGGCAAGGCAGTCAGTCCTCTGCAGTATCAGTGACGGTGGGGGCTTGAGAGTTAAGACAAGTACAGCAATTTTTCTGGAATGTAAGGTGTGTGCCAGGGAAACAGCGGGAGGGAGGGAAGGCCTACAATTTAGGCCCATAGAGGCGAGACAATAGAGACAATCAGAGCAGTGGGAGGGCGAGAGAGGCTGCAGGTGGAGGAGATCTGACAGCAGGACAGCCATGCAATGTGGCAGATCAGCAGAAACAGGGCCTCGACCGGGGCGACAGTGGAAAGGAAGACACAGCCACGGGAGCTGCCAGTTACCTTATTATTGGGAGCAGGGGAGGCCGGGCTCCTGGGTGGCTGTCTGGCAGAGGAAGGAGATGGGGGAGTCAAGATGGCAGCAGGTTTAGGGCAAATGACAAGTTTATCGTGAGAGAATCCAAGAAGGCTCAGTGGCCTTCTAAAAAGACACATGCTGCCGCACGGAATCTAGGCTGGCACAATTACAGGCTCACCGGGAGATAATCCCGTTCATTTTCTTCTCCTCAGGCCGTTCCACACCAGAGCTTCTGCAGACAGCTGAGCTAGACAGATATCTAGGGAAGAAGACTCTGCTGCCATTTTAATTCTACCCCATGTTAACAGCCTTCACGGGAGAATGTGTTATTTGTGGATAATCTAAATTGTCCTGCTGCAAGCTGTCTTCCTTTCCTATTAATTTGATACACACAGAGCACCTACCAGGCCCCCATTCTGTGGTCTTTGTAAGAAATGCTCATTCTCTGACTAGTCACTATAGCAAAGTTTACTTCCTGCCAATGGGGTTTGGTCTGTATATTACATAAAGATTGATCAGCAGTTACCTAGTTATTTATTCAGTGATGCAAAAATATCTTCAAGCTGCTTTATATTTCCACTACATATATTTAATATTTGTTGTAAACCAACATGCAATATATGACTTTCAAATTATTCAGCCCCTATATGTATTCAATTGGGAAGAACATGTTACTAGCATATTCATGATACCATTTCAAGACTTAATATGGCTTAATTATTAATACATACTAATTTTAAAATTATTATCTTTCTTCATTACAGCTTTTCATTTAGTTCTTTCCTGCTTGGCAGATAAGAATGGCTGTAGTGGTCATGCCATTGGTCTGGAGCTAACTTTGTTCTTTTTAGAGCGATCATGCGTTCTTTGGTAGGGGCAGGTGATTAAAAGCAACATCCCCAGAGGTCCCTATGTGGCCCTATGACTTGGCTGTAGCTCAGCGTGCCAGATGTTTGGCCTCAGATGAAGCTGTTGGCTTATACTAGTCCATGGTCACAACCATTAGCCCACAGAAGCCATGTCGAAGGCAATTCAAACCGAGTTGTTAACAGCCTGACATCCATCCTCATTGGGTCTGATACTTGGCGACATTCCTATTTCTGGCCCTTTGAGGTCCCAGAGCATGTGGGGTGCCTCCCTTAGTGTTAAGTTCCTAGCTCCTCAATTTCTCAACTGTGCTCATCATTCAGGCTCTGTAGATGCAAGGCTGCCACATCCGGGGCACCAGCTCACAGAGAGGATGCAAAGCTGCTGAATGTCCAACGGAGACATCTCCGAACGCTTTTATATTAGAACATAGTACAGGACGGCTGCTGGCAGGGACGAGCTAAGGAAGGGGGGATGAAGAAGAGGCGCCACATTTCCCAGTTGGATTTTAAATTCCGTGAGATAAGGCTGCGAAGCACCCTGAATGTGCCTAAAGACATGTGCTGCTTGTCTGAAAACACAACACGACGGGAAAGGCAGAACTCCTGTCCCTTTCCCCACAAGCAGAACTCCCAGACCTTGGGGGCTAATAAGGGTGTTGCCATAGTCACCAAACGTTTTCAATTACAGGAGAAGCCAGCTTGTTTCAGAGTTAAGCCAGAATACATCAATTACAGAAAAACTGGACAGATGGTCCCAGCCTTGTGATGGTTTGACTTCGATTTTTCAATGGTGCAACAGAGAGACATATTCAGGAGAGGCTGTACTTCGAATTTTGAATTTTGATCTTTTCCCGGGCTAAAGAAATTCAGTGCTCTCTGGTGATCCTGGCCAGCAGCTGCCGGCCTCAGCTCCCAGCCACGTGAGCATGAGTAAGCAACAGGGATTCCGCCACGTACCGTGCTGTCAGCATTTTTTCAGACATGATGTTTTGTTTGTCCCGCTTCCCATTATGGCTAGCAAACACCCATCTGTGTTTCCGGTGTCTGGTGAGAAGAGAGGAAGGCAATTACTCTTGAGGTGAAAAATGTATTGAATTGCATTTTTTACTTCTGATATTTTCAACTTATGAGGTAAGGTTTATCTAGACTAGTGATGGCGAACCTATGACACGCGTGTCAGAGGTGACACGTGAACTCATTTTTTTGGTTGATTTTTCTTTGTCAAATGGCATTTAAATATATAAAATAAATATCAAAAATGTAAGTCTTTGTTTTACTACGGTTGCAAAGATCAAGAAATTTCTATATGTGACGCGGCACCAGAGTTAAGTTAGGGTTTTTCAAAATGCTGACACGCCGAGCTCAAAAGGTTCGCCATCACTGATCTAGATGTAACTCCATGGTAAGTCAAATAGCATCAGTACTTTGATCTAGCCCTGGTTCCAGCCAGGAAAGCTTTTGGGGCCAAAAAAAAAACAACACACTTAGGAAATTTTATAAAAATGTAGTAGCCAAGGATGAATTAGCTACATAGCTGCCAAGAGAGCAATTGAGTTTTTCCCTCACACTATTTCCTGTGTTCAGGTTAGCAGACAACGGGAAACGGATTGAGAAATGGGCATGTGATAGTACTGCAGCTTTTTTCTCTTAAAGAAGAAACTCAGACTAGTTTGTGTCTGAAGGGACGTTGACCAAAGAAATGACAAAGCAGGAAGGTTGGTGATCTTGGAAAGTTAAATCATTTCTAACTCATCTATGCTCATTAATTTTAAAACGAAAGTGCATCCATGCTCTTTACTGAGAGAAATGCACATAGTTGTAAGTAAAATCGGCTCTGATTAAGTGAATCTCCTATCTCAGATGAAAGCAAGGAGAGCTTACCCAGGTGTATGCATAACCATAAAATTGTTGACTGGAACTGAACAGACTCATGAAAATGTCATCGTTATTCAGGTACTTTCTCTCAGAAATGTATTTCTAAGTGATTTTTCTATATTTTCATATCACTCAGTATAAGACTCTATTAAAGTGCTTAACAGATTGTGTCATATTTATTTTTAAGGTGGCCTGCTCGCTTCATTAGAATGTGCGCTCCATAAGGTCAGGAAGAGCAGTGTTTTAATTCATTTCCTTTTCCCAACGGCTAGCACATTGCTCTGCTTTGGGAATAGGAACAGGCCACTCAATGTTTGATTTAATGAATGGATGGATGAAGAAAGGAAAGAAAGTGAAACCCCCCAACCAAAGATCGTTACATAGCTGTTGCTGTCCTCTTTGCCCGGGTCTCTGCCACTTCAATATGCCCTCAAGTTTCTAAGGGAGACTTCCCAAATGAAATCTCTTGAGTCCTATTTTTCATTCACATTTGCCCTTTAGTCCCACTTCTAGCAAATGATGACTCGGGGTCAAATTGACTTTGCCATTGACTCTCTGACTCCATCTCTGAGTGGAAGCCTCTATTTGCCAATCACTCCCCCCTTCACTGAAAAAAAAAAGGTTATGTTATCTTCACAAGGGCACTAATGCTGTCTTGTTGACCACTGTGTCCTGTGTGCCCACCATCTAATAGTCACTCCAAAGGCATTTGTCAAATGAGAAAATGAGTTAGAGATTTCTCAGTCTATTGCCATGCCAACCAGTCCTATACTGATATAAAAAATAAGATAGGAATAAAAAGCTATACTAAATTCTGCACTGACATTGAGCGGCTCACTAGTGATCAGCAAAAAGTGACTCTGGAGTCTGAAGATGCCATTGTGTGTGGCTCTTACACCCTTGTCATTCTGTTCCTGGAATGGCTGTGATAAGAACCAACCTGTCTTCCTCATGTCTATGTTGGAAGAAAATGTCTCTTCTCAGGCTCTACACACACACACACACACACCTCCTATTTAAAACAGTAATATGTCCACTTAGAAATAATTCATGACAATCTTACAAAGAAAAGAACGCCCTGGGAACTCTGGAATCTGAAAGGGGTACATTAATAGTGCCGTAAATTTTGGTGGGAGAAATCACATTATTTTAATGAATGTTTCTCATAAAATAATGGAATAAAGATGTCCTCCTTATAATAAAAGTACAAGTTATGACACAAATTACCCCCCTTTTTCCCATTTCCCTTTAATCAAGCTACCCTGGGAAGATGAAAGAGTAAAGAGAATGAGCTTAAACTTGAAAGAGATGAGATGTATACCTGAGTAATTGACCTGAGCCATGCATTGTCATTATTCCTTTTGCATTTGCTTTAGGCTAGAGTTTGGCAAAAATGAAACTTAGTACAAGTAATAGTTATAAGTAAGGTACATCAGCTCTCAATTTTAAAGTTTTTGAGACTGAAACTTAAGGCTTATTTCCTCTCAGTATGTTGTAGATTTCTGTATCCTACAGAAAAGCATTGTCAAAAATAAAGCACAAGACTTCACTCTTTCCTAAGCAAACAACAAGGTGAAAAATTGACCCTGAAGACATTGGCTACACATCCATTAAAATGCCTTTGACTGGCTTCACTCATTCAAGTTTAAACGCTAAGAAAGAAGGTGCAGAGACCTCCTCTAGGACTCTCTGAACCCAGACCCCTAATCCAGCTTTGTCGGTTATTTTGAGGAGGTGCAACAGAGATTTTGACCAATCCTTTTCACCCTGAGGTCAAAAGAGCAGCAGTACTTCTAAAAGTGAATTGAAAACTTAAGTTTCCAATGCAACTTTCTCTTGACCTTCAAGGCCGGTATGAAGCTCCAGATTACAAACTCCACACACAGACAGTCCACCTGCCACACACAGTAGGGCCCATCCAGCTCATCTGGGGGATAGCCAAAGACTTTTATATCAATTTCAGTCCCTAAAATGAAGGCCCCCATCAAAATAAAAAAAAAATCTCCTATTACTTTAAAGAGTTCTTGTCAAGTGTCTTTAATTGTTCCATACAAGGCAACTTTGTGAAGATGGCAAGGGAAGTCGTTATGAAAACGGAGGCCCAGAAGTTAAAATGGTTTGTCCAGGGTCACACAGCTAGTAAGCACTTTGAACCCATCTCATTCATGAGCTCACTCAGACCTCATAGCAACTCCATGAAGGAGGTACTACAATTACTCTCATTTTGCTGATAAGAAACCCAAGGCTTACCAGTGCTGGGTGGCCTTTATCAGGGAGGGTGATCAGAGACGGGAACCAGGGCAACCTGACTCCACGGCCCAGATATTTAAAGCCTGTGCTATGCAGCCCGGAGAAGTTCATGCCCTCTCCATCCGCCTAACGCCCTCCAGCAGAGTCCCAGAGTTCAACAGGCTCGCAGCCATTATGGAGAACAGTGTCTTACAAGGCGGGAGCCGCCCCTGCTGGCTCAGGGCCTGGGACGACTGCCAGAACAGGAAAGAGCTGCCATGTTAACCCTATAAATCTACCGTGGCATTTGTCTTTGGGTGATTTATCCGAGCATGTAAATGCAGCCAAAGAACGCACTCCTCAGCCACTGGGAACCTGAACAAAGGCCCATGACCCTGACTATGTGGGGTCAAGAGCAAGACTCTTCAAAGACTTTAAGAGAGGAAGAAAGGATCAAGAAAGGGTAAATAAAGCTACTGATCTGGGATCAGAAGTAGCTATTTCAGACCCATGTCTCCTATACTTACAGATGCTCGGCGTGTGCATTTTAATGGATCCTCCTTCCGCCTTTAAAACGGCCCCTGGTAAAGGGAGCGGCTCCGCCGGTGCTGCCTGCCGGGCCCTGTGTCTGTGGGAAGGCCTCCCAGTGCCATTCACCCCTCCGGCCACGCCTCTTCACCCAGACAGCAGCCTGGCCGCTAGGAGGAGGGTTCTGTGCGGTGTTTTTGTTTTGCTTTTGGCAGGAAGGCTGATTTATGAACTATTAAGAAGGCCCATTCAATGACCTACTCAGAGGGACAGCAGGGCGTGGAGTCCGGTAGCTTCTAACCTCAGCCTCCGCACTGGCATTCAAAATGCTGAGGTTCCAGGTCGGCAGGAGCCCTTTGCAGCGCACTGGCTAGAGGTAGCAGAGCTCCCGGCCTCAAAACCTCCTAGGACGATCCCCATCCGGCCAACTCTGTCTCCTTTGGAAAGCGCCCTCCCTGGGTTTTGTGTCTGCTGATGGAAATGCTCCGAGGCCAGGAGGACTCCAGAGGAGGCCTGGCCAGCGCGAAGGCAGAGGCCCCTTCCAGCTCGGGCTGCAGCCGCAGGTGCACACGGGCTCTCAGTGAGCGTTGGTTGGTGGATTTTTCTTTCCACCGGGAGCTCCCATTAACGCCCCAGGCTTCGGACGAGACGCAGCCATGGTCTCTGGGGCTACAACACAAGAAGCCTGAGTTATGTTCCCGTCTTCCCCCAACCGCCACACCGTGAGCGAAGGGTGGATGGAGGGGTCCAAGGCCGCTCAGCAGCGCAAGGAGCATCCCCGCCGCCCGCCCTCCACCGGCCACCAGGCGGCGGCAGGCGTGTCCGAGGCTCTCCTGGAATTCCCCCGCCACTTTGCACTGAACGTCCTCTCAAGGCATCCGCGCTGCCCCCATCAGCCTCTTAGCAGTTAAAGTTTTTATCTCGGTTCACACCAGCAATCATTCCCGAGGCCAGCCCAGGCGTAAGGAGCAGAGGAGATGTAACCACAGGCAAACCTCCGGAGCCTGGACTTCTCCGGGGGAGCGAACCTTCGCGTCACAGCGGTCTCCGAGGCAGCGAGTCTCCTCCTGCCTGAGCTGGGGATCGCCGGCCACATTCATGAAGAGGCGACATCAGGACCCAGGGCCCGAGTTAGAGGGGACTGGCACCCCGGGGTGCATCTCCCAGAGATTTGCCCGTGCCTCCACCGCTGAGACCCACGGCTCTGCGTCTGCTTGGGGTGCAGGCTGGGGAGGCCCTCATGCCCAGTCTAAGGACCGCCAACTGGACCAGCCCAGGGAGGCTGAGGAAGGGGTGGAATGGGGCTAGGATCGGCCGCGTGGGGTCCAGGAACTCTGCGAGGAGGAGGCCGCAGTGTACCAGGAAGCAGCCAGGGGGCACTCTTCCTCCCTCCGGCCCCTGCCAGTTTCCCCTCCTGCGTGAAAAAGTGCTAGAATTACGTTCTAACCCCTCCCTGCTTGCAAGGTGACCCAGAAGAAGTCGCTTACCCTCTGGTACTTTCAATTGGAAAATACAGCTCCCACCCACAAGCTCCCGAGGGGTGCCCCATGTGCACCAACTGGATGTTTCAGGAATAGGTGGCAAGCAGCCCATTTGCACGGATTATTATTTTTA